AAGAAGCCTTAGAAGGAGGAGCTCTACCAATGAGCAAGCGAAATGATAGGCCTCGCTCCGCCCACACAACTAGCGTGAAAACTACATTGAATGCATGTGGCAATCACAACAACCAACCGCAAATAAGGGCTTAGGCTGATCAACATGCAGTCCTCCAACGGGAATCACCAGTGGAGATAAGGCTCGCGGGAATTCCAAAAGGGGATCAGTATTGGCGAAGAAGAGCGAACTGGACCGCAGAAGTTCGCTACTATCCGGAAAAGACGGAAATCTGAAATACTTGATCAGAAAATGCTTCAAAGTCAGAAACAACTCAGTTATAAACAAACTTCTTCTTAAGATAATAGTCCTCGGCAAACATCGACGTAATGGGGTCATCCAATTGCCGGTATTTCCTTGAAACCAACTTTGCCAGCGAGGATATCCCACTTTGTACTAGGTATTCTCTCATATAACACAGGCCATTCCGAAATCGGCCGAGAGCATGATGAGATAACTAAAAAAGGTGATAGCAAACAAAAACAACAACGAAAACATCTCATTTCGACTCCTTCATTATGACAATGGTTTTTATAGCAGATGAAGAGTTGTGGGCAAAAGAACTGACCCTAGCCACGATACGCGCCTAAACCTAGCGCTTAGCAGACTGATGCTACGTTTATACTCAGCGACGTGACTGATTCAGCGATATGGGAAACAAAGGGCATGGCTAACTTATCACTTGACCGCTACAACGCTTGATGTAGTTCTATGTTGAATGTGGTTCGAATTCGCGGCTGCAACTGTTTGGCGACTGGTGGCGGGGTTCGTCGTTTGTAGTTGCATGGTGGGTGTGGTCTGCGACGTCGCAGCCTTTCCGTGCGACTTGTGTTTCCTATGGTCCATTGGTCGGAGGGATCCATCCCCTTGCTACTAGCGGAACATGCTACGCTAGCGAACATGCCGGGACAAGGGGAATCTCTTGCCTCCAACGCAACTCAGGTGGCATACAGGTAGGTGTACTCTGACAATGCGCCAACTTGCCGCGCGGACATGAGCGCTGGCGATGACGATGGTAGTGCCTGTAGTCAGTCGCACTCGCACTACTGAATCCGCCCTTGGAGTCGCGGCAAAGTCAACCCTTATTTTTATTGCTTAGCATGGAATTCTAGTCTTTGTTACCCCTCCCCTTATGGTTAGAGCTTCGCTCTCTACTTCATAGCCATCCTTCGATAATAATCCGGTGTCTTTATCTCCCTTAACCTTATCCACTTTTAACCCTATAGCTTTATCCAAGTCGATATGTTCTCTAACCTGAAGCTGACCGAAAACAAGGCTCCTCGTCAGCTAGACGGGAACTCCCCATCGAAGGACACACCACCGCGTTGTGCAGAGAATTTTTGGCTTAAGGCCCTTACTCCTCATAAATGACGGGGGCGGGGGTGCGTCCCCGTGTGCAAGCACTATGTGTTCTCGGTACCCAATACATCCAATTATTACAAGTTGACGTCATTGTTTGACCTCTAATAAGAGACTCTATAACCATTTCCAGCACGTGATACTGTGAAAATGAACTGTCTTGTTTACTTTGCTTGTTTATTATCATCGCGGCAGTATAAAAGACTGCCGCGGTAAGGTTGACTCACTTCTTTCTCCTTTTTGCTGGATCTACCGCAAAGCAGTGCGCAATAAATGTTCCGAAGACCGCCCCCCCCCCCCCCCCCCCTGGCAGCGTTTAGGATACAACTCACTACACCGTGCTTGCCCAGTACTCAAGTATACTACAATGCACTACCATCTCGCTATAAAAAGGCTAAAACTGGAAGGAGATTTTGCGCTGGCCGATTTTGAGCCATTTTGCTCCTGTGAACAGCCGATGTGGGACATAACTCACCTCCGGAAGAAAACATCTTGAGGGAGGGATGTCCAAATTAAGCGGCGAATTAGATGCAACCAGTGTTTCATCAGATAGACCTTAATGGAGAGGAATTTCCGCACAGCTATATATATCATGCGGTTTGACCTTAACTTAAGAAACCGTCAATAAGTTTACCTTCCAAATCAAAATAGATAACCGGAATGGCCAAGACGCGGGTGATAGCCAGCTGGCACGGGTTTCCAGCGTACACTATCGCAACGTCTATGTTTTCTTTCTTGAGAGTGTCCATCAGATTGGAATTTAACATCTAGAATTGGTCAATAAAAATAACAAGAATAGCAGTAAGTAAACCAGAATGATTTCGATACGTATCGATAACGCATTCGCGAGGAAAACCCCATTGTGAGATCGTGTTTTGAACTCCAAGCATAGCATTTGAAGACAAGTTCCGGGTATGGGTAGTGGCGCTCAACCATGAACATGTGGTCGCTAAGTGACTCAAGAAAAAAAGCCATCAAAACGTCCGAAATAATGGCCTTCTTTGGCTGTAGCACAGTCTCATTGTACGAGTTTTCCGTACAAGTTGACAACGTGCATGCTCTCTTCTACCCCTGGCTCACCAATCCCCCTTATAAAATGCCACCCAATGCAAAAAAGCGAAAAAACTCTCGAGACAAGACTTTTAACAGAAAGTAGCTCGCGGAAAACCCGTACACGACTTTAGGTTTACGGTTAACAATGCACCGACGAACCATTGCACCAATAATACCCGTTGATTAAACTCAAAGGCAGTTGGCACGATAAGTCCCTAAGGATTAATATGCCTGGCAGAAAGGAATTACGCGCCTCTGAGCAGGCGCTGCGTAGCGCCTTTTCCAGGAAAGGTGCCCTCAAAAGGCTCTATCAAGCTGCATCATACCGACCCATACGCCCTCCGCAGCCTACAAATGTCCGACCGATCCTGATGCTCGTATTGCTTGCGTAGTAAAATATGGAGCGGAGGGATTGATATGAAGCGATCGCGGTGCTGCGCGTATATGAGTGCATGTGTACATGCAGCCCTACCTACCGTACTGGCACGACGCCAAAGGGAAACTCTATCGCTTCCTGAGTCCCTGGGAACGAAGACTTATCTTTATGGTTTTCGACCGGTCCACTTCCTTTTTCCC